AATATAAGAATGAAGGAAGCATGGTAAAGTGCACAGAGAATGAAGGGTCATCATGTCTCCCCCTCTGATGCTTGTAGCTTTTTGATTTGGGGGCCTGGATCAGACCTACATCTATATTTATTTTTTTGTTTTGCTATAAATCTTTTATACTTTCCGGAAAAAAAAAATATATGCTAGTAAAGTCTTATTATATCATTTTTTGTATTTTCTTGTATCATGTTCCTTGGTTAATTAATTTTGTTTTGTTCGTTTGATATAGATTTTCTATTAACAAGCACTGTTGGGTGTTCTAAATCTTTATCATCTTGGTGACTCTTGTTATTCCTTGTTTTGATTTTTCCAGATCTGAATTCGTTTCTTTGATATATTTAGTTCCTTGTTTTGATTTTTCCATATTTGACTTTGTTTTGATTTTTCCAAATCTGAATTCCTTTCTTCCGTATATTTAGTTTTTATTTTGGGTTCAGATATAATATTGTTTTGGAGATCTAATATCGTAGTAAGTTAAATGATAAGATTTAAGTTTGTTTTATGCCCAATCTGTGGAAACCGATCTGGTCCGATCCGTGAAGTAACGGATCGGTTTGGTTCGGATTGAAGGCCTCCACGGATCGGTTCGGTTTCAATTTTCACCAATCTGCGGGGACCGGTTCGGTTTGAACTTTATCCCCAAACTGATCCAATCCGAACTGTGATCAGGCCTAAGGATAGCTCTATAATACTCATGTGGCCACATATGGTAACGTACCGAGGGCTGGTTTGGTGCGCAAGAATAAAAAGAAATGGAATGAAAATGAAATTAAGAATGAAATGGAATGGGAATGATGATTCTCATTCTTTTGTTTGGTTGCAAATAATAGAATGTGTAAAAATAAAATTATAATTTCCATTTACTTGTTTAGTTGGACTAAAATTTGAAATGGAATGAATTTATATTGTTTTATCTTTATCATCATTTATATTGTTTTCTCCGAATTACCTTTATCATTAATAAAAAAAAAAATTTAACTAAAAAATTAACATCAAAATTTTTTTAATCCAGTGGTTAGAAAGAGGTATGTAAGAAGGAAATTGGGGTAAGAGATAAAGAGAGAAAGTAGAGAGAAGAAAGAAACTGGGCAAGTGAGGTGTTGGAGATTAGGCGAGAAAAGGCAATGGGGAGAAGGAAGCGATCGAAAAAGGGTGAGGACGAATCCGATCTGATCAGCGGCAACGAACGGCGGTGATTTGATCAGCGGTGATGAACGACCCTCTTCCCAAGTTGGTTTCAGCAATTCTTTCACAAAATCAATGAGAAAATCACGAAAAAGCTTCAGTGCTTTTGGATCCTGTTCACTGTTTGCTTCACTCAGATCTACTTTTGATTTTTTGTTGTGTCTTGATATCCATCACTTTGAAGTTCAAGATCAATATTATGTTTGTTAGACAATGGGTTGGGTGTTCTTGTATGTTTCACTGTCTACAGAAGAGATGATGATGCCGACGGTGGGTTTGATAAAGGAGACGATGATGCCGGCGTGGGTTTGTAATTTGTTAGGTTTTATTTTTTAATATTTTTTTTAGTTTGTATTTTTTAAAAGTAGGAATGAAATGGTCATTTGAAAAGGTAGAATAATTTTGATGGAATAACCATTCTCCAAGAATAGTGGAGAATGACAATTCCAAGTTTAAAATTGGGCACCAAATACAAGAATGAAATAAAAATTATTCCATTCCATTGCACCAAACTAACCCTAAAATAATGGTGTTGTGATTATTCAAGGGAGCTTTCAACTTTTCCTTTTTCAATCTCATATTCTTTCATGCTTAATGTAAGACCACAAGTGAAAGGAATGTTAAGTTAGGCTTAATTAAAATTTAACTTAAAGCTTTTATTTTCATTTCCATTTTCATTTATTTATTTTTATTATTATTATATTTTATCATCAAGACTAATTTGAATTTCATGATTTTTTTTTTGGTAAATTATACGCACTTCTCTCATGGTTTGCCATAATACAGGGACATCTCCTATGATTTAGAAAATTACTCGAACCTCTTTTAAAAATGAAACTAATTTATACGGACTTCCCTTCCGTATGACAGATCGTCAAATGCACTAACAGACAAGTCTAATTTACTGAAATGTTCACATATTGTGAAGCAACAGTTATGTTATAAAATGGTAGGGATAAAAGTATTATGGACATTTTAATTAATTAAGTAAATTACATCAACAAAATTCGTTATTGAATGGCGATGACTTTCATAGAAGTGAGATCCGTGTTGGTTAGTTTTATTTTTATGAAAAATTCGAATAATATCCTAAATCATATGAGAGATTAGTGTAATTATGTCAAATCATAGAAGAGATCAGTGTAATTTAGCTTTTTCTTTTTATCAATTTTGGCATGCATCAAACTCTTTTGAGAAACGATTTAAGTTTTAAGATCGAGAAATTATATTCAATCTGAGTTCGAACACGCAACATTATTTTTTATAAACAAATACTTGGTGTCAAATCCTACTTCAAAATCAAAATTGACTAAACGTACAAGTCAATCCGGTTCAAGTTCCAATATGCATACAATCTTATTTCTTGCAAATAAATACTTGCTATGATTACTTTCTCTCTTAATCAATTTTAGTGTTAAAAATTCATATCTAGGTTAAAATTGACTAAACTAATAGAGTTCAAGCTTAACCACTAATATTCAAATCGAATCCGATCACTCCGATTTAAGTCAAAATTAATTCCAATAGAGTTCAAGCTCGACCACTAATATTCAAACCGGGTTGGATCACACAAATATAGTTATATTATTCTTGAGCACCCGTATCTGTGAAAATGATATGCTTATACGTGTGTGTCAATATAGGGAGAGACTAGAGAGAGAGAGAGAGAGAGAGAGAGATTCATAACTCACAATGCTTGCTGGCCACAGGTATTTTAACTTGGCAGTTTAAGCGGATGCTCCAAGAATACTTCATCTGGGAAGGCCCATATGTGATGGGCCTGTTGAAAGCGAATGGCACCAGACTACGAAACTTCGCCTGATGTTTCTTTGAGGGCCCACATATTATAGTATATCATATATATATATATATATGGATATGGATACTGAATCGGACATGCCTTTGACTGGGAGCCAAGAACGTTAGCTACGTCTTTTTCTCTTTAAAACTCGTCCATGCGTTTTCCCATTTTGGATTTTCCACGTGGCAGAAGTGGGTCCGGACCTGTATGGTGGGAGAATATGCACTGCCCCGTAGCGAATTATTCTGTTTCGAGATGCGAATATACTTTACCTGCTTTACGCATCCCCTCATGCTCAGCTGGGTACTGATTTACAATAATGACCCTATTGTAATTGTGTAATTACTGTATTCATGGGTGGCGGCCGGCGGCGGCGGCGGGGGCGGGGACGGAGGCAGGTGGATGTGGCGGACAGGATTTGGGTATTGAAGATTTTGAACATTAGTGTGTGTTGAAATCAAAATAGGTCTGCTTGTATGTGTGTATATACATAATTATGTGTATGTAAATAAGTATATATACATGGTATATATTTAAATTTTACACTTTTCAAATGTTATTCATTTCGAAGATAACTCTACACAGTTAAAAATGTATGTTGAATATTTGAATAATTTTTTCTATTCGGAATTTTGAATAATTTTTTCTTGGTTTGACGTTGTAGGAACACATCAGAAACACTTATAGAATAGGAGTTAAAAGTTTTTTGGTTTCAAATATATTGGTTTAAAATTTAAAAAACTAAAAATAACAAACATCTTACCTATGCTCCAAATTAATGACATAGATTATGATATAAAAATAAAATGAACAAAATTTATTTTTATAATTATTTTTTTTCCAGATCAAATTCCGGTGTCGTCTTATCAACAAAAAAACTCAAAATTTCTTATTTTGTTGATATGAACATTTCAATTTATAAATGTAAATCTCGTATCTATGAAAAAGAATATTCCTCAAACTCATAAAGAAAAAAAAAAAAAAAAATGAATTAGACAAAATAATAGCAATAATAAGGTTCATTGATATTCTTGAAATAGTAGTTGCTACCACACACCATTATACTCAACTCAAATCCAAGTGTCGCCTAATTAACAAAGGATTCAAAATTCCTTATTATGTTCATCATTTGGACCTTTCAATTCATAAACATAGATCTCATACCTATGAATGGAAATATTCCTAAAACGCACAAAGAAAAAAAGAAAGTGAATTAGACAAAAAAAAAAAAAAAAATCCAAACAAACAATTGCAATAATTGGATTCATTGATATTCTTGATATAGTAGATGCCACCACACATATCATTATACTCAGTTCAAATTCAAGTGTAGCTTAATTAACAAAAGGTTTGTAAATTCCTTATTCCATAGATTATTCCGTAACTTTTAGTATATAACGTAAATCTCGAATTTATGAATAGATATATTTATAACAATGACAAAGAAAAAAGAACATGTAAGTTTGACAAAAATAATAATAATTTATAATAATAATAATTACAATAATCGTGTACATTGATATTTCTAATATAACAAATGCTATCGCTGCAACCATACTTAATTTGATAAAATTGTTTGATGTTAAACAATTTTATCAGTAATAGTAATAATAATAATAATAATAAGAAGAATAAGAATAATAATTGTGTACATTGATATTCCTAATATAACAAATGCTATCCACGTGCAAGCATACTTAATTTGATAAAATTGTTTGATGTCAAAGGATTCCCATTTGATTTCTAATGGGGGAATATTAAACAAACACGAGCAAAATACGCATAGACATAGTTTTCTTTTGCGTATTTCTATCATATTTGTGTCATGACGAGGGGTCTTCACTTGTCAGTCAAAGCCATCTACCTTACCATTTACGTAATTTAAAAAAAAAAAAACAAAACACAGAGAGAAAAAAAGGCAAGGGTACTATCGGTAGTTCACAGTTGCTCAAATGAGCAAGCGTCTGCTTTAAAAGTCCTCCATTTCTCACTTGTTGCTTAAGCTTAAGCAACTGAAAGAAAAAGGCAGAGAGGAGACTCTAGAGAGAGCAAACAAGAGAGAGGCGTTTGTAAGCGATCTGATCTCTTCAACTAAGCAAGGTAACTTTTTATATTTGCACCAATGTCTCTTAAACTTAAACATTTTTTTTTTTTTTTTTTTTGCATTTTTTAGGTTGTGTTTTTTGGTTGTCCGTTTTTTTCTTTTTTCTCTGATTAATTACATGAAGCAAGAAATGATCGTTAATAAGCAATAATAATTGATGGGTATTTGTTCAAACACTTGTTTAAGGGAAAATTTGTTGTGGGTTTGTGTTGGATTCTAAAAAAAAAAATTATTTTGGTTACCATTAATTTGTTTGCAGAATTTCTTTTTAGTTATTTACTGTTTTCCATGTCTGAAATGCTTTAATTGTACTGCAATTTTGTTAGTGTTTTGTTCATGAATCAGTCGATCTGAAGTTCATTTTTTTGATTAAAAAAAAATCTAGTCATGTTCGGATTCAATCAGTTTTTAATTCTGCTTCAGATTCGTTCATACTATGTTGTCCTTTTGGTCAGAAGGAAAGTAAAGGATTTTCCAGGGAAAATTTTGAATTCGATTTTCCATGTAGTGCTTATTATATTTTTTGCCTTTTTCTTCCTGGAAGTTATTCTAGGAATTTGATGACTTTGTTTGAAGTGGTTTCCTAAGTGGGAATTGTGATACTGTCTGGAATTTGATGATTTTGTATAAAATTCAGGAAATTGTCTTTCTGTGAGTTTGTTATATCTATATATTAAAACGAGTGAGTTTGAACTCGATTTGATTTGATCCAAGAAATTGAATAATTTTCAAATGTTTATATAAAAGATTGGCTGTTGAAGTAGTCCATCTAATCCATTTTGTTAAAATTTAAATCAAAGTTATTAAATTTAAGTTTAAACCACACTACTCAAATCATCAATCCGAATTGAGCCTAACTTTTTACATCTCAACTTTCATGTTTGATTAAGTGTAATCAAAATAAAGCTCTATAGTTTTTAGATTTAGTTCTTTCTAATTCTATATTTAAATTTGTGAGTCGATTCTCTTGTCTAATCGTTGGTTTGTTTGTATAGTTTGCATATCGTATTAATTCCTTAATTCTTTTGTTTTTCAGCTTGCTCTTTTTTGGATATCTGCAAGAGGAAGTTCAATCCTTTCTTCTTCTTTATCTCTTTCACAGTAACAACCCATACATGGATTCATTTCCGGAATTGGAATCAGAGGAGTACTCTAGGAAGCCACTCGGAATCCGATTCCTAGAGTACAGAAAGAAATCCGCCCTCTCTTTCAAAGCACACCAAGCGATCGTCCTAATTGTAACATTTCTTGCATACACAAGCTACCATACCACTCGAAAGACTACAAGCATTGTCAAAAGTTCCCTTGATCCGCAATCACCAAATGTGGGCTTGAAGCTCTTCTCATGGCAAAGAACCTACGCTAAAGAACCGTCTGAAAGCAACAGAGTCTCATGGGTGCTTGGAAGTGGTTGGGCGCCCTTTAACAGTTTCGATGGCACAGCCTTGCTCGGTGAACTTGATGTGGCTTTCCTTTCCGTGTATGCAGTTGGAATGTACTTCTCGGGACATTTGGGTGACAGAATGGATCTTAGAATTTTTCTAACAGTGGGAATGGTGGGAACTGGTTTGTTCACTTCACTCTTTGGACTTGGGTACTTTGCAAACATCCATCTTTTCTATTATTACTTAATAGTCCAGATGTTTGCGGGTTTGTTGCAATCCACTGGATGGCCTTCCGTTGTTGCTGTGGTTGGGAACTGGTTCGGGAAGAAAAAGAGAGGGCTCGTGATGGGGATTTGGAATGCTCATACATCTGTCGGAAACATCACTGGTTCTTTGATTGCTTCGGCTCTATTGAAGTATGGATGGGGTTGGTCCATGGTTGTTCCCGGTCTCATTATTGCTTTGTTTGGTTTGGTGGTTTTGTTTTTCTTGCCGGTCAGTCCCAATTCCGTTGGAGCTGATAGAGATGAAGATGAATTAGACTCTCCAAAGAAAAGTGGAGAGAGAATAACCGAACCTTTGTTGAAACCGGAGACAGATAAGGAGGAAGCTGTGGGGTTTGTAGAAGCATGGAAAATTCCCGGGGTTGCTCCTTTTGCTCTTTGCCTCTTCTTTGCTAAATTGGTTGCTTATACATTTCTCTATTGGCTTCCTTTCTACATTAGCCACACAGGTACATTAACGTTTCCGAACTGTTTTATTCTGCTTTTATTTGTATTAATTTTGTTAGTCGTCTCTTTTTCAATTATGAAAATGTGTTCTTAGTTTCGTTTGTTATATCTTTGATGTTGCAGCTATAGATGGCAAGTACTTATCTGATGAGGCAGCTGGGAACTTATCTACATTGTTTGACGTCGGAGGTGTGGTCGGAGGAATCCTTGCAGGCCACATTTCTGATCACCTGGATGCCAGAGCTATAACAGCTGCAAGCTTCATGTACTGTTCCATCCCTGCTCTCTACTTGTACAGAAGCTACGGACACATCTCTTTGCCCCTAAACATCATTTTCATGCTAATCACTGGCATGTTTGTGAACGGGCCTTATGCTCTTATAACAACAGCGGTCTCAGCTGACCTTGGGACACACAGCTCACTGAAAGGCAACTCACGCGCACTAGCAACTGTGACAGCAATTATAGACGGAACAGGCTCTATTGGAGCTGCTATTGGACCATTGGTAACCGGTTACATTTCTAGGAAGAGCTGGAATGGGGTTTTCTCAATGCTAATGGCATCGGCTCTGGTGGCGGGATTGCTTCTAACCAGGCTTGTCGTGGCCGAAGTGGCTGCAAGGTTTCAGAAGTCAAGGTCACAATGTACCCCTTCTTCAAGGCCTCATCCAGCTCCACTTGAAGTTTGATTTCATTCAAGTTGATATAAAGGCTTCCTTTTTAATGCCTGTGTGTAATGCTTCGAGAGTGTTTTTCGAGCTCTAAATCACAGCCCCTCGGTCATTTTTAGATTTAGAGGGGATAGCCCTTTCACACTAAGAAGTTTTTAGCATGGAAGGGAAATTTGTGGGCCAATTGGTTCACATATGTATGTGTACACTTTTAGTATGTATATAGGATAATGAAAATGGTCCAAATGACAGTGGAAGAACATTTTGTGTGTACTTTGGGTGCAGTTTTTGTTGTTTTAATTTTAGTTGCCAAACAAGCAAAACTTGAGTTGACATGAGTTAAATTCTTCACTTATGGTAACTTTCACTTATCATGCTACAAAACAAGATGAGATTAGACCAAATTCTGGGCAGAAGTTGTCCACTGGTAGGGTTTGTGGGACCACAAAGGATTGCAGCAATGTCTCTCTTTTCCCGGGAAAAACAACTTGCTTGTGTTAACCCAATGGAAAATTTGGTTCAAGATTTTAACCTTCGGTAAGAGAAATTGTGGATAGAGAGAATCACTTCAGCTGTTACAAAACTTTTGGATCAGTAAGATTGTTAGACCATGCAATTGCAGCCAAATCACTAAACACACTGTTCTGAAATTCAATGGAAAGTTATTCGACGACATTATATATGATCCTCTGAAGTTTGGTCTTTACACCAAGGGGTGCAAGGCATCAACTCACTTGAAAGTTGAAACACTAATTTCTTGACCCTCCAACTTCTACTTTAGAAAAGTCCAAACATACTTTTTAAGATATCTTTTGCTCTATATATATATATATAAAGATTAAATTTCACTTACTTCCCTTGATATTTATTAATATTCCCAATAGACCTTCTCTACATTTCATAATTCCACTTACTTCACCCGTCAATGATAGTCGTCCAATTTGGCAACAGTAGTATGTTATTTTATCATTGTTCCCATGAAATGTTTGTCATGTCATCCATTAGAAGGGCAAAACTAACATTTTATCAATTTTCTGTTGTTGATGCCAACAAGTTCTGAATCTACTTGCTTCCGTCACGTGCCTAACAATACAACAGCAAGGGAGATCTGTTACATTACCTAGAAATTCAAGAGAGTTAAGTGAAATTATGAAATGAAGTGGGAGTCTATGTAAAATATTTGACAAAACCTTAATAAGAGAGGTAAGTTGTCCAATATTTAAGGGGTTGACCTGAGTGATAATATGGTTAAATAAAAATATAGATAATGCTAAATATGCTATGTTTGGTTGGAGGGAAGGATTAAGCAGGAATGGATGAGAGGAGGGATGAAATAACTTTTTTGTGTTTGGATGGAGGGAAGGGAAAAGAAGGAGGAAGCAAGGAGGGATGCTTTCTATGTTTGTATTTTTCTATCTGCCCAAAAATTGGGAGGAAGAGAAGAGAAAAAGAAATAATAACTAATATAAATATGTATTTTCCATTTCTAACATTCTTAAAATTTTGGGGTGGATATAAGTAATTTTATAATTTTAAATAATTAGGGTATATTAGTAAAAAGAATATAAAAACTCTTTTTCTCTTCCTTTTAACCAAAAAAAAAAAAAAAAAATGTGTCATTTCATCCATCCTTTCTATTTTCCATTTCGTTTAACCAAACGAAAATTGAGAGATACACTTTCCCTTCCCCTCTCTCTTTCATCCAAAAGCCATACATGTAAATAGTGGATGGATGTAACGGATGGGTGCTTGTCTATTTACCCAAAAGTTCAAGTTGTTAGGTAGTGTTGCAAACCCACCCATTTATACCAATCATTCGATGTGAGATAAATGACCCTTGTTATATTCTTTCCCGCCCAAACTCGCAACGCCCTCGGGTCACCTTACCTACCTGGGGTGCTCACCTGGACGCCTTCCGGATCGAGCGTTTGGCGTAATACCGAATCAAGGATTGAGTCTGGCTCTGATACTAAATGTAACGAATGGATACTTGCTCATTTATCTAAAAGCTCAAACTATTGGGTAATGTTGCATACCTATCTATTTATACTTAATTACTTTTCCATTCGAATCTGATGTGGGACAAATGACCCTTGCTACAATGGACCACTAGATAAAACACATGACATGTAATTGTGAGTGTTTAATACCTAATTGCAGCCCAAAAAATAGACAGGCACCAACTAAATGCGGTCTAAGTCAATCACCTGTTAGAAACTGAATGAGCGAAGCAATTGGATACATAAAATTAACTAAACCCACGTATAACAACCACTTTTTTGTTTCTTTTCATATTTTGTCCCTAATAGGAAAAGAACTTCACAGGATACGTCTTCCACCAGATTAGGTCGTCGCAAACTAACAGACAAACAACCCATCTTGATTGCATGGTAGATTAATATATATATTGGTTTAGGTGTTTGGCCCGCAGCAGAGATGGTGCTGTTTCTTTCTCTGTTTGTGTTTTTGGCTTGTTTGTTTGCCTTGTAAATATATATAAAAATATATATATATATATATATATATATATATATATATATATATTTTGCATAACAATATATTTTAAGAAACCCTATTATACTATTCATTATTAGAATGCAAAAAATCAAGGAAATATAAAAAGAAAATTTGATGAGATCCATGCATGCGTTCAACTAATAAAATACTTAGTTGAGTTGTCTATCTCAGTAATATTAAATTTTAATTTATTTATTTAAGAAAATAAAATAAAAAAATTCCTTTTTTTAGCTTAAAGTTTTTACTATGTATATTATCCACAAAAATGCTCTATTAATTAATGAATTTGATGTCTTTATATAATATTGATTAAACTTTGGGGCCTGTTCTTAGTGCCCAGCACACTAAACATTTTCTTTCCAAAAACACAAAAGAAGGAAAAAAATAATAATAATAAATAATAAAAATTAATAAACTTTGGGGCCTGTTCTTAATTCCCAGTATCTTTTGGGATTTATTTTAAAACTGTTTTTCTATAAATAGAGTTAAAAAATAATCATTCCCAGATAATTATCTAGACCAATTTTCGGGTAATTTTCTTTATTGAAAACTATTAATAACTGTTTTAAATAACTAAAACAAATATTCCTGTCAGCCTTTAACAGATGTAATATTTAAAAAGCAAACATATCCTTAATTTTCAAAAGATGCATTCTAAAAGATGCCGATAAGGCCAAGTCTAATGCATAATTTTCAACCTCAACTTAACCTAACACGAGAGAAAATAATAATAAAGATAATAATAATAATAATAATAACATGGATAATTAACTTATCTAAAAATGTTTTGTAAATTGTGACGTCTTTTAAAGTGTAATTTTAAAAAGTTGAGTGTATTTCTAAAAAGTAGTGATTTGGGCAACCAATTCTGATTATTGCGTACTCTCTCTGTCCCAAAATAGTAAGGTACTTTAAAAACTATAACTCACTTGGTACTTTAAGAACTATAACTCACTTGAATACTTCTTCTGTCCCAAAATAGTTGGGTATTTTAGGAGTCACAGTTCCAACTATTTTGGGACAGAGAGAGTATTCAATAACTAAAATTGAGTGTGAGTCACCATTCCCAAAATGCTCAACTATTTTGAGAAAGAAAAAGTATTTAGGTAGGAGGGGTGGTAAGTCCCACCACATGATGACGTATGATGACATCATACAGTGGGGGCTTATCACCCCACTCACATAAATTAAATTCTGTAATTACGAATTCGGTTCTTAAATCATTATTCTTTTAAAAATATAAAAGATAGTAAAATATAATCCTGAATTTGATCCATACAACATTAAAATTTGAAATTCCCGGCACTTAAAAAATAAAAATAAAAAACCTAAGGAAAAATAGAGAAGACTGAGACATATAGACGACAAGGATTGGACATAAAAGACAGGAAATTTTAACCAACTTCCTAGGTGAAGAAAAAGGAGTTGGGTGTTGAAGAAAATAGAATCCACATGTTTGAAAAGTATTGTAGTGCCCCCATAAAGGCACAAATTGGTGCCCTGAAAATGGCTGGTTTCTTACTAGAAACCTTCCTTCCAAGCCTAAGCATTTCATAATGGTCATTATCATGAGCAAGGAACATAATTTTACCATATAAAACAGAAACAACCACAGTGGACACTGGATTCAAAATCAGAACTATGTGAATCATGTATGCAGTTATGCAACAGCTTTTAGGAAGTACAGAGGCATCCAAGTATGCATTCACTAACCCAAGGTGGTTCTTGTGTCCACCCCATAAAATTAATCAAACATGGCATTATATTGTCTACAAAACGATCCAGATGCATTCAAATCCAAATATTCATTGAAGAAGCAACACCGAATCAGCCTATGTAATCACTAATCTAACGCCGAGCCATGTAATGAGAAGTTTCTAAGTTTCAGGTCACAGAGATTTCTTATACATTCCCTTATCACGAAACAAGTTACAAGTTGTGTTGAATCAAAAGGGGTCGTGCATTTTTGGCCAAATGGGAAATAGCCCAGCTGGAACAAGCCCTCCTCCCCAAAGAGAGGTCGGGTGTTCAAGCCTCAATGGAGGTATGCGTGTGTGTGCATGAGAAGATCAACTATTGGCAGATACCATTTTGCACATAAGACAAGTGACAAATCCAGACACAACCATTCTCTAGCTCTTTAACCAACCAACCATGATCATAAATTTATAGCGAGCTGACATCCCAATGAAAAAAAGGTTAGATGAATCAACCTACCTCTATATAGAAGTATACAAGGAGTCTTCATTGGCAACTGCTTATGACCATGACAGAGGATGCACTTCAGGGATTTCAACATTATCCCAAAATAAAAGTATAGATAAAAGTACAAGAACCAAACCCACCCCAAACAACACACACTCAAAAAACAAAATAAATAAATAAAATGTTCTAACATTTAGTATAACAGTTACCAAACACCAAATCTAGGATCTGATCAAAGCCAAAGCTTCATATAAGAGACCTTTAAACCAAGGAAGCGGGGTCAGTCCCACTTAGTTGTTTGTGCCATGAGCATATGTAAAACATGTGTTAGCACATGTAGGGAATTTACAATAAGAGACCTAGATATGTATTTTTGGTAAATGAACACAGAAGTGTTCCTACTTGGTGGAGATCCTAGCGCTTTGGTTCACAAGAAATAACATGGAGGATCTTCCACTGTATTGGAATAGGAACCTAACTAACAATGTACACAGTATTGGCTAGATGTACCTAGTGGAGAATCAACTATGACCATCTAAAGTGACTTGGTAATAGAATAATTCATTTGAGAGGACTGTGGGTTTGACATTTCAGACATACTACATTTTAAGGAGATCCCCTCCCTTTCATATTACATCCTAATACCAAAATTGCATTAGTTCAATACTGGAAAATAAAAAGAACTGCAGTAAGACTTCTCGACATTAAACCTAACATGCCAAAATTAGGTCTCATTTTAAATTATCAACCATATTAATACCACCCAATCTGGCAAATTTCATTGACACATGGAAGCCAGATGAACCTGCATCTGGTCTGACCATATCGACTTCTAAAGTAACACTTATGTAGAAATAGAAATTTTGAAGTGACACACTTTGTCTAAAGAGTAATACCAAGGTGGATACTCTATCTCCAAGAACTATTATGCTCCTAATAATTTTCTTTCCTTCATTAATATTCGGAATAATTTCTCAAGGTGCACATACTTAGCATTTTTTTATTTATTTATTTTTTTTGATAAGTAAGGTGCACATACTTAGCATTGAAAACATCCAACTAGAGCCTCCGGCATACCAATCCCTTCTTCTCCCCTTTTTCTGGGCCACATGCAGCCTTTCCCATTCTTTTGCTCCACTAATGATATAAACTGCTACAGTCCTTGCTTGTTTTTGCTTATTAAAAAAAAAGGGTAAATTCTTTGTGATTTTTATAGCATTGTAGGCAAAGAAGCAAGAATTAAATAGAAATAATCAGTGGCAGAAAGAGAAGCCAAAGAGTTTCTAACAAGAATAAGCTTGCCGCCTTTAAACTTCAAAGACCATTCCCCCTTGCACAACCCCATCCTGTGGTCACAAATAAAGTAAGGCCTTACAGGGTGCTTTGAATCTGAGATCAAGAGGATAATTAGAAAGGCTTTTAACTCTAAAAAACTGTACATAATTGAAGCACCTTATAATAACCTAATGCCTCGTTTAATCTAACAAATGCAAAATGTGGGAGGGATGGAAAAGGTAAGGATGGAAAGGCTTCTGTCTCCTCCTCCATCCGTATTTTAATTTTTGGTAGGTTTCTACTCCATTTGTATTGTTGAGCAGTAAAGAAAAAATGTCAAAATTATTTTACCTTGTACCCTAAATATTAATTCAATGATATTCTTTAAAGAGAGAAAAATGCAGAACTAAGTAGTTACCTTCAACCCTTCCCTGTTTCTGACCCCTTTTGCTGATTTGATTTTGGCGGGCATGAAATGATTTTACTCCCCCTTCACTTTTCACTTTCCTATCCATTTCCTTCCTACCAAGCAAAGGAAACTATTTCCAATCCATCCCTCTACCTTTCCCCCTTTCTTCAGTCCTAATCGTTCTCCCTGTTACCAAAAAGATTGTAGGACCCCACAATTGAGAGGTTTCACAAGAGGAAAACATGTCATCTGTAAAAGCTACCATGATATAACACAACCTATAGTAGAACACTAACTATTTCCCCATGTTCACTTCTACTGCGCAACTTCTATTTGCAAATCAAGATATTCTTCACTATGGTGAAGAATTCTTTGAACTATCCAGTTACACAAATGAGTTTCAAAGTAAGGAAGTAAAAAACTGACATCCAAACACCTCCACCAAAACCCTAAATACTAGGCCAATACAAGAAAGGGGTATGTCAATCACAATTGACAAGAAATAATTACATAAACAACTTATCCTAGAAATTGGATGTCAAATTAATGATATCTAGAAAACATTCAACTATCTATAAGTACGTCGATTGCCATTGCAAGCCTAACAAACAAGCATTACTAAATCACGAGAACAAAGCATGGAACAAAAGAACTTTTTTTCATGATCATACAACTCTTGAAACAGGATATAGATTAACAGATTTAGTTAGCATGATCATATATGCTTTCTTTCAAGTTGTTACAACATACAATTCTTGGAGTTCATATGTGTATATATATAAACATATAGAGAGAGGGAACAGAGATGGGTTGGCAGTAACAGAATAAGCATTGATTAAAATTTATAAACCATCAATTTTCATTTCTTTAAAAAAAAAAAAAAAAAATACAGTACAAAACCCTAAATCACAGAACCCTCATCTGTAACAGAAATAAGCATTGATTAAATTTTGTCAACCATCAATTTGCACTGCTTTTTTTTTTATTTTTAATTCCAATACAAATCAATCGATTGTTTAAAAAACCACAAAACCCTAATTTGTGCAAAAATCACAAAACCCTCAAACTGTTTAAAATCATTGGTGGAGTAAAAGACCTGTAGTGGACTGGAGATGTATCTTTGTGAACTAGACGTCATCGTTGCCAGTCTTCTTGGGCTTCCGATACTTCTCTTCGACGAGCTTCGCCATGAAAATTGCAGTGTTAGCGAGCCTCTGTACATTGGGAACGTTATAGTTCTGCGCGATGTATATTCCACAAACTGTGCCCATTACGAAGGAGAAACCGCTCCTTATTATTCCCATCGCAGAACAAATTGATCAGATTCCAAAACAAATTAGGGTTAGGGTTAGGGTTAGGGTTTTGAACAGATTGCAGGGCTTTCGTATATCTGTCTCCCTACCGCAATGATTTTTTAAAAAACTGCAATTATTGTTGACAAAATTCCTGGTTTCTTGTAATTCTGGAACAAGCTAGTAAAAAAAAACACCTGCCGCTAAAATCTTTGTATTCACAAAATTTTTATTTTCTTTTCTTTTCGAATTTTGTTAATAATGATGATTTATTATCCAATATAGTACTATGTTTACATATTTAATATTTATAGTCCTCTTGCGATTTTATTATAATAAATACAATATGTTTACATGAGATGTATCATAGAATTCATAAGAATCATCTCATACATAGAATTCATAAGAATCATCCCAAACAACTAAATAAAATGTCGAATTTAACGTGGCTGAGCCACGTCAGATTATCTTCTAAAAAGATAACTCATACCTCTTCCCTTCTCTCTCATCTCTTTCTCTAATTCTCGATTTTAATTTTGTATCCAATCTTATCTTTGATTTTGGTTTTGTCTCTCTTTTGATTTCGTAAAATTGAAGATAAAATGAAAAAAAATTAGATTTCTTCATGTCTTGCAAATACAGAATCACAAAACCAAAACAGAACAAAAAAGAAAAAGAAAAAAGAAAATAAAGGTTACAATTGTTGTTTCTCTCCTTTATATTAAAAATCAAATAGAAACTTTTAGAAGATTCACCCGTTTCTCTTCTTTGGATTAATGACAACTCTTGTGTGGATATTTACTTACCAAAAAAAAAAAAAATTTGCATAGTTTTCATCTGAAATTGGAAAGATTTATTATTGGAAGGTTTATGAATAGAGAAAAGTATGTAATCTTGAAAAAGGAGCTAAGGAAAAAGAATTTTGGATCTTGTCTCTAGAATACTTCCGATATGTGTATCTCAAGAGAGGAGATGTATAAGAAGAATTGGTGAAGAACCAGACACAAAGAGGAGAAAGAACGAAAAGGAAGAGAGAGAAAACGGAAAAACTAGGAAAGAAAAGATCAATGATAATGAAATTATTTGACGTGGACAAAGTCACTTAAGATTCGATATTTATTTCGGTAGAAATGTTCGGTTTCTTTATCACTGCTCTATTTACATACGTGTGTTAATGTTCGAATATGTCCAATTCAAAATAAAATAAAAAAATAGCATCTTGAAATTATGATCTGAAAGTTTAGTTTCATTTTTAAAACATTTTTCTGAAGACCATCATGCACTAAACCAACTATTTAAAAGTTTATAAACTTAGATTAAATTAAATCATTTTTAACACGTTTGGAAAATGAAATCCATTAGTAAGAAATTTTTTTATCTTAAACCTATACTCCACGAGGGATGGCCATTTTTTTTTTTTTTTTTTCCCACCAACAAATAGATTAAACCATAATAAAAAAAAGAAGAAGAACAGTCAAAGAGCAAAGCATTTAACAACCACGGGGGCCTTCCACTCTAAATCACCACACTCGGCTACAAGAACATTTTTGCTCAACAAATGAGCTACCAAATTTCCACCACGAGGAACCCAAGCAAGAGAGGATCCATTACAATGAACAAGAAGAGAACAAATATCATGGAGAACCTCCACCTGACCTGTCACAGAGACCTGCAAATGCATGACCGACTTGCAATCTCCTTCAAGCACCACATCCTTATAACCCCAACAAGGCAGCAACAAAAGAGATTCACGCAAGACAATAGTCTCGGCTAATGAAGGACTGGAGACATGCTCAAAAAAGAAAGACACAACCTTAATAGGCCAACCCAAATGGTTCCTTAGAATCGCACCTCCCCCACAAAACTTGCGAGCCGAATTAAAAGCCGCGTCAAAATTAAGCTTAAGACACCCCGGAGCAGGAGCCTTCCATACTGCCGGAGGAGAGAGGACTGGGAGAGCCGGCAAACAAAGAAAACAATTTTGACGAGAAATTTCCTTAAATTCCTGAAAGTCCACCAAAGCTCGTTGAGCAACATCAAAAGGGTCCCAACATTTACGCTTAAAAACAAAATCATTGCGGCTTTTTCAAATAAACCAACAAACAAACGCAACCAAACTCAAGCAATCATCGGAGATGCCCGACTGCGACCAATGGGCACATAAATCAAACCATCGTTTTTTCCAAATAGTTGGAGCTTGAGAAGAAAAATCAATTCTAAGCGGACATAATTTCCAAACCAAGCGAGCAAAAACCCAAGTACAGAGAAGATGATCCACCGTCTCCACCTTGGACTCACAAAGAGGACACTCGGGAGGGGAAGGCACCCTTCTGATGCCAAGCTGAGAATTGACTGGAATACGATTGTGCATACATTACCAGAGAAACAGAATGATTTTCCGGTGGGCTTTAATTTTCCAAACATTGCGCCACATAGATTGAGAATTAGCATCAAAACTGGAGCTTGTCTCCGATGGAAAGGCCTTTGGTTGGTAGAGAATTGAGAGGGCCACATTGTAGGCACTTTTAACAGAGAACTGGCCATTAAGAGATGCACCCCAGACTTTCGAAGAGAAGAAAGGGGAATTTGAAGGATGAGAACTCGATCATGCTGATTAAAACATTGGTTCACCAAAGCAACATTCCAACAATGCAGGGAAAGAATAATCAAATCAGCAACCAAAGAACACCGCGCCGCACCTTGGATAGAAGTAACAGCATGGTTAGAGTCAGGCAACCAGTTGTCAAACCAATAATTCACATGCGCACTGTCCCCTATACTCCATTTTAACCCTTTCTGAATCACTTCCTAAACCGACGAAATACTCTTCCAAACCCACGAAGCATTGGACCGAGATGCCAATTCCAAAAAAACAAGAGTTTTTAAAGTATTTAGGTTTAAAAGATTTGAACAACATAAAGTCATCCTCGACCTCCAACCACCATACAATCTTGGCAAGGAGCGCCATATTAAAGGCTTCAACATCCCTAAAACCCAAACCACCAACATCTTTGGATTTACACATATCAGACCAACTTATCCATTTGATTTTGTTCAATTTCTCCACGCCGCTCCACCAAAAGTTGAGAAGCTGACTAGACAAGGCTTGACAATTCTTTTTCAAGAGACGGAAACATTGCATAGAAAAAACCGGAATAGTCGAGAGAACTGATTTCAAAAGAACTTCGCAACCCGCCTTGGACATAAGAAAACCCTTCAGAGAACTAGCTTTGGCTGAAAGTTTTTCCGAGAGGAAATTGAGTGCCAGCACCTTAAAGCGACCCAAGAATGAAGGTAAACCAAGGTAATTATTATACCAATCCATATTAAAAATACCCAACAACTGTCGGCAGGAAGCCTTTTGAGAGGAGGAAGTATTCGGAGAAAAATACAAACTAGATTTTGCCAAATTAACCAACTGACCCGTCAGAGCGGCATAGTGATCAAGTATAGTTTTAACCCATCGAACCTCAAGATCTTTGGCCTTACAAAACATGAGAGCATCATCTGCAAATAGAAGATGGGAAATCAAAGGACAACCTCTCCAAACCTTTAGGCCGGATGCATTAAACAAGAGGGAAAGACCTTCAGTGCAGAAGAGAAAGAGAAAAGGGGACAACAGATCCCCCTGCCGCAGACCTCTGGATGGGATAAAATTAGCGCCTCTTTCACCGTTTATCAAAACTGAATAAGAAATGGATGAAATACACTCCATCATTAAAGAAACCCATCTCAGAGCAAACCCCAAATGCCTCAAAAACTTGCCCAGAAAAGCCCAATGAACCCTATCATAAGCCTTCACCATGTTAAGCTTGAGGGCCATAAAGCATAAGTCACCCTTCATTTTAGATTTCAAAACATGAAAAAGTTCGTGAGCAAGAATAATATTGTCATGGATAAGCCAATTGGGTACGAATACACTCTGGGTCTCACTGATAAGAAGAGGGAGTAGAGACTTAAGACGATTGGCAAGAACTTTAGAAAAAATCTTATAGGAGACATTACATAAAGTGATAGGCCGAAAATTAGACATAGAGGTGGGGTGGGGCACCTTTGGGATAAGAACCAGATTTATAGAGTTGAGAGATTGAGGTAACTGCCCGCCTTTAATAAAATCATTGAAACCCTGTAGGAGATCAAATTTCAGCACTTCCCAATTGGATTGGAAAAACAAAGGCGTGAAACCATCGGGTCCGGGAGCTTTATAGGACCCATCAGTACGATCCGAGACAACACCATTTTCTTGTAAAGAAGAGGGGAGAAGATCGATGAACCTTAACGACACTGGTGTTTTTGTCTGTCAAAAGTTCCCCAACGATCAAGTCAGTCAACGGAGGTCTAAGAGAAAGGCAGAGATTTAATATATCATTTTTGTCATACCAGATTGACTGGTAAGGTCTTGTTCTTATAGTCAACTCTCTCTCAGTTCGTTGCGAGATCAAAGGAGATTTGTTCGTTACCAAATCATACGAGATTTGTTGGGGAGATTATCTGCTCCTTTGAATTTGAATTTGTACTGAGGTTATCTTTACCCGGTTGAACCACTTTATCTTATCTGTTTAAATTCTCCTTACCAGTTGCCCCCATTCCTAAGCTTGTTCGTCTAGCTTTGGGAATGTCAAATTTTTTTTTTTTTTTCTTTTTTTTACCTCGGACACAATTCCCGAGGTGAACAATGTCACCTCGGGGTACTGTTCCCGAGGTGAATAGTACATTTTTTTTTTACCTCGGGTTACTATTCCCGAGGTAAACAGTGTCACCTCGGGTATTGTTCCCGAGGTGAACAATAAATATATATATATATATATATATATATTTTTTTTTACCTTGAGTTATTATTCCCAAGGTGAACAATGTCACCTCGGGTACTGTTCCCCAAGGTGAATAGTTTTTTTTTTTTTTTTACCTCGGGTACTGTTCCCGAGGTGAACAATATTTTTTTTTTTACCTAGAGTTACTATTCCCTAGGTGAACAGTGTCACCTCGAGTACTGTTCTCGAGGTGAACAATACATCGAGGTAAGGAAATAATTGTTACAAGTTTCACTCAGCTTGTCCCTTTAGTAAAGAAATAAATTTTACGAGTTTCACTCAACCTATCCCTATAGTAAGGGAATTAATTTTTACGAGCTTCACTCAGCTCGTCCATTTAGTAAGGGAATAAATTTTACAAGCCTCACTCAGCTCGTCCCTTTAGTAAAGGAATGAGTTTTTACGAACTTCACTCAGCATGTCCCTT